TAATATGTGGTCTAGGTTTGTCATAGCTTTTCTTCCAAGGAGCAAGCATCTTTTAATTTCATGGTTGCCATCACCATGTGCAGTGATTTTGGAGCCCCCCAAAATAAAGTCTGTCACTGTTCCATTATTTCCCCATTTATTTGCCATGAAGTGATGGGACCAGATGCCATGATCTTAGTTTTTTGAATGTTGTTTTAAGCCAGTTTTTTCACTCTCCTCTTTCACCTTCATCAAGAGGCTCTTTAGTTCCTCTTTGCTCTCTGCCATAGAGGTGGTGTCATCTGCATATCTGAGGTTATTGATATTTTTCCTGGCAATCTTGATTTCAGCTTGCGCTTCATCCAGCCCAGCATTTTGCATGACATATGCTGCATAAACATCATATGAAATGCTGGGCTGAATGAATTGCAAGCTGGAATCAATATTGCCGGGAGAAATATCAACAACTTCACATATGCAGATGATACCATTCTAATGGCAGACAGTGAAGAGGAACTAAAGAACCTCTTGATGAAGGTGAAAGAGGAGAGTGAAAAAAAACTGGCTTAAAATTCAACATTCAAAAAACTAAGATCATGGCATCCAGTTCCATCTCTTTGTGACAAATAGAAGGGGATAAAAGGGAAACAGTGATGGACTTTATTTGGGGGGGGGGGCTCCAAAATCACTGCAGATGGTGATGGCAGCCATGAAATTAAAAGACGCTTGCTCCTTGGAAGCAAAACTATAACAAACCTAGACCACATATTAATAAGCAGAGACATCACTTTTCGGACAAATGTCCTTATAGTCAAAGTTATAGTTTTTCCAGTAGTCATGTATGGTTGTGAGAGTTGGACCATAAAGAAGGCTAAGCGATGAAGAATTGGTGCTTTTGAACTGTGGTGTTGGAGAAGACTCTTGAGAGTTCTTTGGGCAGCAAGGAGTCCAAACCAGTCAATCCTAAAGGAAATCTACCCTAAATATTCATTGGGAGGACTGATGCTGAAGCTGAAACTCCAATACTTTGGCCACCTGATGCAAAAGCTGACTCATTGGACAAGACCCCAATGCCAGGAAAAATTGAGGGCAGGAGGAGAAGAGGGCAATAGAGGATGAGATAGTTGGAGGACATCAGCGACTCCATGGACATGAGTTTGAGCAAACTCTGGGAGATAGTGAAGGACAAGGAAGCCTGTTGTGTTGCAGTCCAAAGGGTCACAAAGAGTTGGACACAGCTTAGTGATGGAACAAAAAGAAGAATTAGGAGACCTAAGATCTATCATGTCAGTATAATTTAAGAAAATCAATTGTTATCAACATAACATCAAACTTCAGAGCAAACTCATTAAGAAGATAAACAAAAACACTCAATAATGATAAAAATAGCTTTAAAAATTAGTGATCCTGAGCATCTAGACCCAAAATATATTTTTTCAAGAGGAAATGAATGAGAAGAAATCAGAAATAGGTAGAAATAGAATTAAAGGCAATGCCTGACTATCAAAATATGATATTTAGTAAGCAAAATTTTTAATGAAGAGTGTATTATATATTCTAGGGTTTTGTCTTATGCCTACAAGTTATATATTACAATAAGTAACTGACAAATAGGATAAAGATAGTTATTTCTTTTCAAGAATAAATGAATGTCACAAATTTGATTGTATACTAGGACACAAAGATGCACTCCAAAAAATTTAAAGGCAGGATATTTTGCTTGTACAACATCTTAAAATGAACAACAAGCAGAATAGGAAAATTCCCAACATGGAAAATATATTAAAATATTCTCTTGACTATTATCTAGATCAAGGGTGAAATTCAAAGTGAAATAATTCTTTAGCTGCTAAGAAAATTAAATACCACAAACATATGCAATTTTAGGAAATTTGAGCCAAATAGAACATATAGTAAGGTTAATCACACCAACTGATGCAACTGTTTCAGAAATCAGTTGAGCAGTTCCCCAAAAGTTAAACATATGATCCAGAGTTACCATATGACCCATCAATTCCCCTCCTAGATATATATCCAAGAGAACAGAAAACATGTTCACACAAAGACTTACATACAAATGTTTGCATCAGCATTATTTATAATAATTAAAATGTGGTAACACCCCAAATATCCACCAATTGATGAATCAATTCTTAAGTGAGGGATAAGGTATGTAACGGAATATTATTCATCCATAAAAAGGAATGAAGTACTGATACATGCAACAACATGGATGAGCCTTAAAAATATGCTAAATGAAAGAGATAGGACACCAAAGACCATCCACTGTGTAATTCCATTCATATGAAATATTCAGAATAAAAAGCCACAGTGACAGAAAGTGAATTAATGATTGACAGGGGCTGAGGGAGAGGAGAATGGCAAGTGACTTCTTTTCCTAGAAAGGACATGACCTGGAATGACAGGTCCTAGATTGTAGTTAATGGTTACACAACCTAAAAATCCCTGAACTGTACACTTTGGATCTCATGAAGGCGTGATAACAAGTCATACTGGGCTATGTGAACAAGGACCACAGTCAGATATGGTAAAGCAGCGAGGTCTAAGGGCAGGATTCCTGACGTCTTAGACCTGTCACACCACCCTGAACTGTTTATGCTCAAACTACTGCAGAGGGGGAAAAAGCTATTTCTAATTAAGCTACAAAATGATACTTTAGATACCTGTCTTGCAACTTAATCTACCCTTGAACTCTGAAACTACTAAATACTGGTTAGGGTAGGTAATTAACCTTCTCTATTTGATCATCAAATTCATTTGTGCAGTATATAGTTGAGAATGCTTCCATTTGCCACTTCCACTTGCAATTTTGAATTCTCTCATATTCTAGGCTTAGATTTCCAATTCTTATTCATTATTTTTCTGTTTTTATTTCTAAAGTAGCTATTTGGTCAAATTTTTTGTTTACTTTTTATTGATTTAATTCACGTACTACAAAATTCACCCTTTTCAAAGTGCCCTGGAATGTTCCAGGACAGAGTTGGGAATACATCCTTTCGATTTGCCACCTAGAATTGCACAATGTGATAGCCTTACTCAGCAAACCAAAAACTTGTTCTGTGGGATACTAGCTAGAATATCTTCTTTTTTTAAAAGAAAATCTCTCATTGATATATGTTATAACATCCTCCTTCCCTATGATTGTACATTGCCAGTAGATGGATATCTTACTACTATAGCTGTTTTCATCCCCACTGCTCTGGTGGACTTGCATTGACTGCTGACTTAGATATGCATGATGACACCATCTGGGTCCTTGCTATTTGCCCAATGTCCTTATACCTTGAATTTCCCAGTTTTATGAGCCAGTGCATTTTTTTATACTAGCTACTTTCTTTCCAGCTACTTTGAGCTGGATTTCTATTACTGGCAGACAGAAGTTATTATTTTATTGTTTTGACACTCAGTCGTCTCTGACTCTATGGCTCCATGGATAGTAGCCCACCAGGCTCCTCTCTCCATGGGATTCTCCAGGCTAGAATACTGGCGTTGGTTGCCATTTCCTTCTCCAGGGGATCTTCCCAACCCAAGGATCAAACCAATGTCTCCTTCATTGGAAGGAGAGTTCTTCACCACTGAACCTCCTGACTAATGCTCCCAGTAAGTCTTGTTCAAGGAAGAGGAGACATTTTGCCAGACTTTTTAAGTATTCTGGTCTCAACAGCTTTCTTAAAGTGGAGGGCAACATTTTAAAGATTAAATTTGTATTATTTAAAGAAAAAAATTATATATATATATATAGGAACATATATATGAATATAAATTTTTTTAAAAGCTTCAGAAGATATACATCAAACTAGTACCAGTGAATTATTTCTGGAGACAGAATAAGCAGAGCAGAATTGGGGATAGCGATCAAAAGAGGCTATAATTTTTTTTCTTTTTAAAAAATATATTCTTTATTTTTTGGCTGCACCAGATCTTAGTTGTGGCAGGTGGGAATCTAGTTCCCTGACCAGGGATCGAACTCAGGCCCCCTGCATTGGGAGCTGAGTCTTAGTCACTAGAATACCAGGGAAGTCCCGAGGTTATGGTTTTATCTGTAATGCTCTACTTTAAAAAAACAAATGTGTAGACATAATTGTAATACTTAAATTAGTCACAAAATAGCAGTTTTAAAGAGCAAGCTTCACTTTTCCTCTTCTATGCCAGTTCATTGCTGAATAATTCAGTTCTAATGCAAGGCAAGTGTTCATTCCGGGTGAAGGTGGTAGTGTAGGCAGGAGCCAGTGGCCAGAAATGTCAGAACCCAAGCCGAGTGAAGAGGCAGCCCACCAAGAAAGGCTGCTGGTGTGGAGTGCTTTCACGTGGAGTGTGAAAAATACGCACACAAGAGAGCGCAGTGGAGAATTTGTTATACACACAGGGGTTTTGCTAAAATAAGTAAATCTACTAAGGAAAATTGAAACCAGAGTTCTCACTGAGAAAGTAGTAAGAAATAAGGAAAAGGAGATAGCTAGAGTGAAACCTGAGATATTAGGTTGGAAATGGAGATATCTGTGTGATGACAGGATATTTTCGATGGATAGATCGATTCAGAAGGGAATATGTTTGCAGGTGTACGTGAACACATGTAAGTTCTGTAACTCTCTCACTGAGAGGGCTTGGGAACAACAACCTGCTGGTATCAGTGAGAACACCTAACATCTAGATCTTAGCTTTTAAACATCATTCTCCACTAAAAAGAAACAAGATAGTGAAGTCAGGGCTGATGCAGGGAAAGTAGAAGTAGAGCCTGGAACACATATTTGTGCCAGAAAATAAGGAAGATGCTGAAAGAATGATGGGGATATGATAACTGGGTACAGAAGCTGGTTTGAAGGGGTTCCACTTGCTAAATGGGTGAGCATTAAAATAATATTAAATTTAATAGAAAATAACCAATTGAATAAAGTAGCAAATTGTGATATAAGTTAATTAGGTAATGAGTAATATAATATTTAAATAGTTTCACAATCATTTCACAAAACACTAATTACCAAGAGAAATAAATTTTACAGTAGAGAAATTTGGCAGACACCACCTGAATCAAGTGATGAAAGTGAACTTTGTCAGTAATGGGACAAATTGAAATTGTGTGCCACCTGAGAGGATGCAATTAGAGAAACATTGCTTCACCTGCGTGATCCTCATACACAGCCTAAAACCAGCCTTCAGGAAATGGCTGCTCCTGCTAAGTCACTTCAGTCGTGTCCGACTCTGTGCGACCCATAGACGGCAGCCCACCAGGCTCCCCCGTCCCTGGGATTCTCCAGGCAAGAACACTGGAGTGGGTTGCCATTTCCTTCTCCGATGAGTTAAAGTGAAAAGTGAAAGAAGTCGCTCAGTCGTGTCCGACTCTTTGTGACCCCATGGACTGCAGCCTACCTGGCTCCTCCACCCACAGGATTTTCCAGCCAAGAGCACTGGAGTGGGGTGCCACTGCCTTCTCCGTCAGGAAATGGCAGACACACCCAAACTGAGGTACATTATACAACATAACTGGTCTGTAATCTTCAAAAGTGTTTAGGTCATGAAAGCCAAGAAAAGACTGAGAAACTGCTTCAGAATGAAGGCGATAAAAAGACATAACAAATGAATACAACAACCTATAATTCTTAACTGGATCTTTGCCTACAAAGAACAGTATTAGGACAACTGGCAAAACTTAAACGGGGCCTAAGATTAGATGATAGCCCTGTAACACTGCTGATTTCCTGAATTTGATGACTGCCTGGTGGTTATGTAGAATGATCCTGTTAGTGGGAAATACAACCAAGGGTGATGTGGCATTATGTTAGCAACTTCCTCTCAAATAATTCAGGGGAAAAAAAATAGTTTTTTACTGTAGGTGAAGCTTTTCAGTGTTTTTCAGATTGTTTCAATGTAGAAAAAAACAAAGCATATAACAGAATGTTCCAGAAAGCAATGTTTATGTTACCTAAGAAACTAGCGATAGCTCTGGTTTCTAGGAAAGAGAACTGGAGAACTAAGAGATAGTTATAAGGGAAAGAGTAGTTTTTATTGCATGCCTCTTATACTGAATTTTCACTCTTTCGTGTGAATGTGTGCAATGTGTGTTTGGGAATATGGTCGGAAGCTGCGTAGGGACATGGAGTATTACTGGACAGCTGAGGCCCTGACTGAGGAGTTTTAATGTCACTGGCCCCCACACGTAATTTTCCTCTGGCAGAGTTCAGCAATGAGGATGATAGCAGAGAAGAGCACCAGTGGGTTAAACCAGAATTGAGGTTTTATGGCAGGTGGTGCCAGAGCATGGAAGATATTTGCTGTAGCAGTTTCAGAACAGTAGCTTCGGGTCTGGGCTTTGATCGGTCAGGCGGAGGGCCAGGAGGCGTCAGGGCCCACCTGGAAGTCGGGTCGGACTCGGACTTGGGAAGCGCCGGGCGGAGTCAGGCATGAAACCCGCTGGAGGAGAGCAGCGAGCCCGCTCCTGGAGCTCGCTCTCCTCGTCCGCGCGGCGCCTCGGCGGCTCCAGCACCCTTGCGGTCTGTTTTCATATCTGCTTTTTATAGAGAAAGAAATATATATATATAGTTTTTCCTCTTACGTGAGAATTCCTGTTTCAAGAGAAAATGAGACAAGACCAATGAAGGAGAGAAGAGCCAGCCAGAAGCTATCCAGTAATCTCTCATGGACCCTAATCAGAACGTGAAATGCAAGGTAGTGGCGGCGGGAGACACTCAGTGTGGGAACACCGCGCTCCTCCGCGTCTTCGCCAGACTGCTCCCCCGAAAACTACGGCCCTACGGTGTTTAGAATTACACGGCCAGTTTTGAAACCGGCACACAGAGAATAGAGGTGAGCCTCCGGGGCACCTCGGGGTCTCCTTACTACGCACCGCGCGGCCCCTCTCTTACCCAGACGCGGACGCTGAGCTGATCTGCTTTGGCATCGGCAGACCAGAGACTCTGGACAGTGTCCTAAGGAAGTGGAGAGGTGAAATCCAGTTCTGTCCCAACACCAAAATGCTCTTGGTTGGCTGCAAATCTGATCTTCGAACAGATGTCAGCACATTAGCAGAGCTCTCGAATCACAGGCAGACACCGCTGTCCTATGACCAGGGAGCAAATACGGCCAAAGAGATCGGAGCAGCTACTTACATTGAATGCTCGGCTTTACAGTCAGAAAACAGCCTCAGAGACATTTTTCACGTGACCACCTTGGCATGTGTCAACAAGACAAATAAAAACGTTAAGCGGAACAGATCGCGGAGGGCGACAGAGCGGATTTCACATATGCCTAGCAGACCAGAACTCTCGGCAGTGGCTTCAGACTTCAAAAGGACAAAGCCAAGAGTTGTACTGTGATGTGAATCTCCGGTTATTTTTTATGAGGACAAGGAAATTAAATGTAAAAACCACCACCAACAAAACAGAAAGGTGAAGTCTGAACAAAGTGCATAGCCAAAGTCACGTGTTCTGGAGGCTTAGGAGGCGTTTGGAGAGATTGTTCATCTTTTTGGAATCCTGTCCTTAGATTTGGCATGTAGAACAAGTGGTGGGAAGTGAGTTCATTGAAGAGTTTTGAAATGTGACTTGAAAAATATGCCAAAAAAGAGAGATTCAGATGGGCTAGAGGTTGAAGAAGAGGAATGCGAGTACCTCCAAGAAGAAAAATCACGCTCTGAATGGTGCTTGCATTTTTGTTTTCTTTGTTACATTCTATTCACGGATCTCTACTTTGATTTAATTTTTAAGTGTTTTAATCCCCTTTACAAAAAAGTATATATTAATATACCATCCTCATGGGGTAACTGGCACTGTGACCTTAGCATTTAGTTTTCTAGAGAATGTGATCTAATTTTCTCCTAGCTCATCATTAAAATGGAAATTGTATCAGGACCCATGGGATATCCAGAGGAAAGTTGGTGAGGCTTTGAAAGCTTGCTGTCCTGAAGATAGCTGAGCGACATGGTTCCCAAGGAAGGCTTTTGCAGTGTTGCGAGATGCGGAGACCAGTACTACAAAGATTGAATAGGTCAACTAGAGGAAAAGTATCAATTTTTATTCAGTCTGATGGTTCTGTTCATCCTTGTGATTGTATTAAAAAGTGGTAAATTGCTCAATGTGATATTTTTGTGTGCTGTTTAGAAAAGAGGGTGTGTGATTTTTTTTTTTGCCATCATTGATAAAAATGCAACGTCAAATAAAAGGTGTCTTGGTATGACGTCATAGAATGATCCAAGGGCGAAACCATGTAGGTACTATTGATATCTTCACCTGACCGAGATAACGAATGAAGGATAGTAGCAGAAAGCACAGTTTGTGAGTTAAGTTGTCTGGATGTAAGAGACCAAAAGGCCTATTTTGGGATGAAGCTCCAAAGTTGGCAACATTTGATAATCAGTTGGCTTATTTCAATATCTTTCAATGAACATGATAAGAATGGCCCTCTGTTCCAAGCTTTTGAGAATCCTTAGAGGAAAATTATGTAATGTCAGTCCTACACTATCCTATGACATTTCTAGAGAGTGATTGCTAAACCTCACTTAATCAGATTCTGCCAAGGCCGTGTTCCATACTTGATCACTATTGTTACATAAAATAATCAGCCTTTAAAATAGCTTACAGATATTTTTTGACCAGTTGCTTTTAGAGCTTCTTTGAGAGAAGAAACCAGGTCCGACCTTTTTATTGTTGGCGCTTGTTGAAAACGAGCTTTCTTTCCAATGATAAAGCTTCATTTTTGAAGTGTTGAAGCCGTGCTCCCATTCATTCAGTTGTGGCAGGAGAGGAGATTAAGGTAATTACAACACTCAGTCTGTGTCTTACAAGCACTTTGTTTTGTCTCTGCAAGAAAATACCATTCCAGTCATTTTCCCCAAGAAATACAGACGTTTTACCAACATGATATGCTCTGATTAACGCAGCATTATGCTTTGGGCAGTATTATGAAATAGCTGGCAAGTGCTTTCTGTATTTAAATATTGTAAAAAGAAAATAAGTTATAACTGTTATAAAGCAGAACTTTCGTTGCAGTTTTTTAAATGTTGAAGTCACTTTGTATGTTTGTTTGGTCAATGTTTCTGCAGTATTTATTAAAACATACTTTTTTTTGTTTCTTCAAATAAAAAAGTAACCACGTCTTTGTCAAAAAAAAAAAAGGGCCCATATGGGTTCATTTCTTTAATCCATAAAATATATTAAAAGCTTATAACTTTAATTAGAATAATATAAAAATCCATATCTTAAAGAGGACAGAAAAAAATCATGAACAAAAAATAAAAATGACAAACTTATGGAGAATGTTCAAAGTAAGTGGATTTAAGCTCTGAGATTATCATTTTTTCACCTGGGATAGTAGTAAAAAAAAAAAGGTTTAATGCAAATACTCCATGCTAATGAATCAGGGATAAACTAGTACAATCAAACTCAATAGGCAGTGTTGCTGCGGTTCAGTCAGTAAGTCATATCTGACTCTTTGTGACCCCATGGATATGTGAAGTTGTTGATACTTCCCCCAGCCACCGTGATTCCAGCCTGGCATTTCACATAATGTGCTCTGCATAAAGTTAAATAAACAAGCTGACAGTATACAGCCTTGATGCACTCCTTTCGCAATTTGGAACCGGTTCATTGTTCCATGTCTGGTTCTAACTGTTGTTTCTTGGCCTGCATACAGTTTTCTCAGGAGGCAGGTGAGATGGTCTGGTATTCCCATCTCTTTAGAATTTTCCACAATTTGCTGTGATCCACACAGTCAAAGGCTTTAACATAGTCAATGAAGCAGAAGTAGATGTTTCTCTGGAATTCCCTTGCTTTTTCTATGATCCAGTGCATGTTGGCAATTCGATCTCTGATTCCTCTACCTTTACTGAATCAGTTTGTACATCTTGAAGTTCTCAGTTAGTCTCTTTTAAAATGTGAGTCTCATTGCCAGAAAATTACTGAATCTCTTAAAAATATTCCCAGTAACTCTTCTTTTTACATGAGAATTTAATGCTCTATTTGAGAGATATTTTTACTACCCTCCATTTTTATGATTGCTTGCTCTTTCCATTCAGCTATGTAATTTCTGTATTGCACATAATACTCATTTTCCTTGTAACCCAAGAAGAGAACAGTCTTG